CCCAGGGCTCCACGTGCGCCCCGCCCCCGGCGCCCGCCCCCGCCCCCGCCCCCGCCCCCGCCGACCCCGCGGGCCTGAAGAACCAGGGCAACGCGCAGTTCCGCGGCGGGCAGTTCGGGGAGGCGGCGCGCAGCTACTCTGCGGCGATCGAGCAGCTGGAGCCTGCAGGTAGGGGGCGCCGCGCGCGACCTGGGGGACACCCCCGGCCACTGCGGCTCAGCCGGCGCCCGCGACCTCTGCGGGACCGGTGGGAAAGGCCCGCAGTGTCACCGAGCCCGCAGTCATCTTGTAATTCTGCCAAAATATGATTTTGCTGATGGATTTTAACTGTATTTAATTACATGTGATTTTAGGAAGTGAAAGTGCGAGTGATCTAAGTATCTTATATTCAAATAGAGCCGCGTGTTACCTAAAAGAAGGAAACTGCAGTGGCTGCATTCAAGATTGTAACAGGTAAACCGCGCATTTTCGGTATTTGTCAAGATCCTGTTACTCTTTCAGTGTTCTATAGTCTTGTTTGTTTGATTTTTTTTTTCCGCATAAAAAGTCTAACTTCTTAAAATAGTGTTAAGCTATATTGATTGATTAGTATACAAAAATCATCTTTTGCCCTCACATACGAAGACAAGGAAAATTATGCACGATTTATTTCCACTGCCCCCGCCATAATTCACCGCGAACTGCTGGCTGGCCAAGCCTAGTACCTGGTGGCGGTCTTGTTGCGGCAGGAGGATTTCTCCTGATACTGTACGCTGCTCAAACTGTTTCCAGCAGGACGCTGAGGCTCAGAACTGTCACCTAGCCAGTTACGAACTTCTCTGCCGCCTCCCCCTTCTGCACCTACGTGGGCTGCTGGACCACTGTGCTCGCCTCCTTGTTGTTTCCTGGAAGTGGGCAATGCCCTTGCTTCATCTTTGCTTCTGAAATCCCTGCTCCCCGCCTCCTCAGTCACCTGCAGGTCTCTAACACCTGCACTGCCACCTGGTCATCCCTGATGGCTTTAAACTTGCGGTCAGGAACCACTTCTATCCCGGCTTTGGCCCTTTTAAAGCACCACAGGCACCATGGTACTCAATGAGTTACCACCAGGATGGATGAATATATTGACACAAACAAAACGTATTGTTTTCTTTTCCCATTAAGTAGGGAGCCTGCTTCAGAAGCCCTTTGGCAAGCAGTGGTAGTACTCCTGTGTCTTGAAAAAAAAGTGTCTAGTTCTGATTTGACTAACAGGCTTGGTTTACTCCTGTTAACTCATATGATTAGTAACTGTCACCCCTTTTCACTATCAGAAACCTTACTTTAAACAGTAAATTGTGTGGGCATTGTTTATAAGGTGCCAGGATCATTGTTTCTTTTGTTGGCATTATCAGTTTACTGATATGAGTGAAGTGTACTAGTCTTCATGCCTACAGTTTAGAAAGAAGTCCCTGAAGCAGTTGGATTTTTTTTTTACCAATTTTATACATTCACATTTAACAAATTATATTGTTTTAAATATAATTTATCCATCCTATCTCACAATAGCTCATTGTTTTATTTACAGGATTTTGAGGGCAAAATCCAGTCCTGTGGACTGGATTGAGTCAAACTGATAGTAATATAGGATGATAGAGGACCCCCAAATAATCCAAATAATATAGTGGAAATACAACTTCCAACCTGCTTTACTGCTAGATGTCAGATACACCAAGTTCACATTCTCTGAAATCAGAGAATGAATTCTAGGAGTGACAGAGGTTAAGAGTAGAAATATTTATTGTGGAAAAGAAAGATTCTGTCCAAGAGGGATAGAAGGGGGTCCTGAGTGGATGGTCCTGGGGACCCCTTTTCTCAAGAGTGTTTTATAGAGAAAAACCACAAGGTGACAGGTTCAAGTGGGACAAAACTATAATCAGCTAATAAGATTAGGAGTGTAGTTGCTTGGGTAAAGCTGATCCAATGGGAAATCACAAGGTAGGTGTGAGGTGGGACCAAACTATGGTCAACCAATAAGATTACAAGTATAGTCACTTAAGTAATATTGATTAAGTGGGGCTCTAATGGGGAAGCAAATCATGTAGCAAGTGGACCTCTCTGCTCTGGGAGCCCCGCTTGTGCACCCTACAGCTGGTTGCCTAGTAGATTTCTGATTTCTTGCTTGTCTTGGTTCATCTTGTTTTAATCCTACAAGCAGGGCATCCTTTGAACAGTGCTTATCCTCTGTTGCTGAAAAGGCTTACAACCTTCCCAAAGACACTGCCCTGGATACACATCTTTCCCTCCATGTTTAGTACTGCATGGTAGAATACCTAGGAGGGAATCTGGAACCATTTTCTGTAAGACTGCCACAGATACATGAAGTTCTGGCCAGGCTTTCTGGCTGTGTCTGCATGCAGACTGGAGCAGTGCTTTCTAGCCAAGGAATCCGGCCCTGCTGGTCAGTGCTTATCTCCTTAGAGGCTGACCTATTTAGATGTTTTCTTTGATAACCTGTGTGTGAGTCCCGGCAGGACGGGCGTGGACATGGTGCCCAGCAGGGGGTGGTTTACGCCAAAGCTGTGATTCTCCGACTTATTTCAATGCCAGGGAAGCCATAATGCGCCTTGGCAAGCAAGCTGAAATGCGGATGCATTTAAATCTCTATAAAATAGGAATCATTTATCAGCAGGCAGTATGACTATCATTTTACCCTCAAAAGACTGTACATGTTTTAGGAAGTTTCTTCGTGAGCTTTTCAATTAATTATCTTTGCTCTTTGAAGAGTTCTGTGAGGTCTTTTTATTAGACAGGTAGTACCCTACCTGAGACATTGAAAAAGGAAAACATTTTTTAAAATTTATTTTTATTTTTTCTGTATTTTAGGGAAGGGTTACAGTGTGTTCAGTGTCTCACTACTAGATTGGATGCATAGTGATTCTCCTCTTTACAGCCTCCCAAGTGCTGGGAGTACAGGCCCGCACCACCACGTCCAGTCTCAATTGCCTTCTCAGTCTCCTCAATTGCCTTCTCAGTGCACCCTAGGGGCAGGGGCAGCATGGCAGGCCCGGGATCGAAGTCCCAGTCCCTGGGCCTGCTTGCAGGCACTTTAATCCGCTGAGCTATTTGGCTGACCCAGACAAAGAAAAACATTGAGAAAGGATTACATGGACAAAATTTAAAATAAGGGGAGGGGAAAAACAGCTTGGTGAAAGTGACTTTTTTATATACATTGGAAAAGCGTGCAATTTTAAATGTCTCCACACGGGAAGTCTCAGGGTTTCCCAGGACTCTCTGCTGGTTTTATCTTTGCTCAGGGTTTGTTTCTGTGTTTGGCCTCTGGGCAAAACAGGCGAAGATCTTATGCTGGCTAAGGAAAGTCTGAGAAGAATTGTCCTAGAAAGTTTTTATTTTCTCATAATTGTTTATTAGCTTAAAAATGGTTTCTCATTTTTCAGAGAACCTTTTTGGGTTATCTAAACCACTCAAGAATCTTTCAGTGGCTTTCTGTTGAAGATATTTTAAAAGACTAAATCAAATGAATGTTGTCTAGCAAGTCTCTGCTTTTGCTTATCTTTGCTACTTTCTGACAGATTTGAGATTAGGAGACTCCCTTGGTCTTAATTTTATTAACTTGAACGGATAGCTCTGACTTAAAAATTCTCTGTGCTTGGTATGTAAATGGGTTTTATTTCTCCCCCCTAGTGAAATTTCCATTTATAAGCTCATATTTATTTTCAAGATTGCAGTTAAAGGGGAAAAACACCTTGCTTTTATTATACTTTGCTCAATTTATCAATTTTCAATCCTAGGCTCTGCTTAGGAGCATCTTGATTGGCTGAATGGCACCTGGCACAATGAAGGTCTACACGCGTGTGAGGAGAGGGACACATTTAGTCTCCATTCCTGTAGTTAACCTTTGCTTGGCCCTAAACTACGCTAGTGGTACAGGTGACCGGTCTGCATTCTCAAGGACCTGTTGTCTAGTGCTTCAGTATTTATACTTGAATTTATTCACTGATTACAAGAGTAAGACAAACTTATTATAAAATACAAAGCAAAACAAAAAACAGCAGAGCACAAATATGATCATTAAAAATCACTCACATTCAAAGCATGTAGGCCAGGGCGATTTGGTCACTTTTTGAGAGAAATGAAGCCAATTAGGTACAGTGACAGTTCCAGAATAATTTCTATGGTACTAAGTCTAGAGGGGCTCCCCAAAGGGCAGCTGAGGGACTCTTTGCTGTGGAAAATTGTGAAAGGGTCCAAGTAGCAGGTGAGTCAGGTTTTTTTTTGGGCAGCATATGTGTGTGTGTGTGTGTGTGTGTGTGCACGTGCATGCATATGTGCATGTGTGTGTTGGGAAGTGTACAGCTCCAAGGGTTCTGTCTAGAGGGACTTTCTGAGTTGCTTATGAAAGCGTGTTGACTTAGGACTGGGAATGTGTCTAATGACACTCAGGACAGGCATTGTGCTTGCCTCCCTGAAGCTGATTCTCAAAGGAACCAACAGAAGGACGCAGTACTCCATGTGTCCATGCTCTCGTCTGTGTAGTGAACACACTAATGTTTACCTCAGAGGTTAACCAGGAATTTGATTGCCGCTCTGGGTTTGTTCAATTAGAAGAAAAAGTCTACAGGGCACCGTGGGTAGCATGTGCTGTACAAGTGCTTTCTCCTTGCCAAGTCGCTGGAGGCAAAAGTAGGCAGCAGATTTTGAAGGGTATTGGAAGAGAAAGTTAAAGCAGCCCTCACTCTTGCTTTCCCCAAGGCAAGTCAAACATTTGATCCATGAACTGCTGATAGCACAGAGTTGACAAAAAGAGCGCATTTGCTGTCTCTAATGTAGACCATCTGGTGGAGGTTGTATCAAGCGCAGGTTCTTTGTACAATCTCAGCATGGAGTCCTTCATCGCTTCACATGATTTTGTTAAAACCAAGTGTTCATCATTTTCATTCATAGGTACAGTCTATGTTTGATTTCAGAATATAATAAAGTACATTAAGTTCCAGAGAGGCGTTAAGCAGTTACTGTGAATACAACCAAAGAATGCAACCATGAAATACATCTTTAGTGACGTTGGAAACATTTCCTGTACTAGAAAATGTATCATAAAAATTCATGATTTACAAGAAATTATAGTATGTGTAGTTCCTTGATTTTATCATGTCTATTTCAGATACCTTTTCACAGCAAGAAAATCTTAAGAAACCATAGGAAGTGTGCGAGTTGATTCTCAACATATAATGCAAGTTTTTGTGGTTCTGTACTAAGCTGCCTTATTAAACACATAGATGGCTGAGAATTTCCTGTTTAATCTGTCAGTAATACAAATCTATTGAATCTGCACTGGGTGCCTGAGGCCGTGTCAGGCTCTTTGAGGGCACAAAGGAGGCTGATACCTGCTGCCAGGGAGGAGTAATTGCAGAGAACTTTGGTCCTGGGTTCAAAGAAAATAACCAGGAATTTGATTGCCACTCTAGGTTTGCCTTTCTGGTGTTTTGCCAGGTTCCCAAAATGAAATAACAGGTTATGTACATATTCAAAAGCCCATGATTATGGTATACATTCAGTTAAGTATAATTCATTTTCAGAGTAAATCATATATAGTGTTTTTGTCTTCTTCAGAGCCCTGGAACTCCATCCGTTCTCCATGAAACCTCTTCTACGGCGAGCCATGGCCTATGAGACACTAGAGCAGTACGGCAAGGCTTACGTGGATTATAAGACGGTGTTGCAAATAGACTCTGGACTCCAGCTAGCAAATGACAGTATTAACAGGTAACCTAGTCTTGGACAGCTAGCTAAAGTCTTGCTGTTTTATAATGGAGGCATGTTCTTTCTCCCTCCCCTGCCTTCCAGAACAATGTCAGAGTGTAAACATGTTCTTGGTTATTTACTTTCCATGAATGATTGCCTTCTTCTACTCCATCAAGTCAGATGCTCTCTCAGTAGCTTAATTTCTAACTATCCCTTCAGGAATCTTGAGCTGGCCCCTAGCACCCTTATATTTGTTTCGTGGACCACTTATTACCATGTGGTAATAAATTTTTCTTTTTAATAACACAAGGAATAGCTCACATGGCTGCTTAAGTGCCCGTGCTATTATGAAGGTGTGTTTACTGGCTCATAAATCAGTACTACTATAGGACAAAGTCCAAGAATGCAGTGAGCACCCCACCTAGGACCTTCTCCCAGGGTGGCAGGTATCCACCGGCACCACCTCTGTGAGTGGAAACCAGTCTGTTGCTTTCCCCTGGGAGTGTGGAGGTGTTGATCACCCTACCAGATGTTATATGCCCTTGAAAATCGCTGCGGACTCAGAAGAGTATTAGATTTTAGAAGTGAAGTAGCAGAGCATTTGGGTCTCTTTTATAGCATGAACATGAAAAGAGAAGAATTCCAAGACCCCAGAGACAGGATAGCATTGGGGAGGCCCTGGGTTCCATGCCCAGCACCCTCCATGTGCCCAGAAAAATAATCTCTGACTTCATCAATTGCTTTCAGGTGGAATTGGAAAATTATGAGCTGTATGAGGTTTCTAGTTCCGTGCAATTCCCTGGCATCCAATTCGTCCAAATTAGCGCTTCTGGGCTGCACCCTGTGCTGGACTGTGCCCTTCTCCCCCCGAAAGAGGCAAAAGGAGAAACACGAGATGGCCTCTGTCAGTCAGCAAACTGCAATAGGGCAAGGAGGGGAAGTTATGCAAGACAGATTATTCCCAGGAGGGCCAATTTGCTAGGCAGTCAGGCTGGGATGTCGCAGGGCCACTCAGCTGCAGTGAGAGTGCTCCAGGTGGTCTAGGAAGGATGCAGGTAGAGAACAAAACTGTGGAAGATACAAATGCATGTTTTGCATTTATTCACTTTCTAAATCGGGCCCTGCCTTCCCTGGTGGCCCTGGCGCTCTCTGGAGATGACCACTGAAAAGGGCTGGGTATGGGGCCTGCCTTTGGTTGTCCTTGAAACTTGTTTGTCTGGTCAGATAAGGAAAAAGGGATATATGTGTATCTCCATGGTGGCGCATCCTTAATCCTGAAAATCTGAAATCTGAAGTGTTCCAAAATCTGAAACATTTAGAGTACCTACTTGGGGTCGGCCAAATAGCTCAGTGGACTGAAGTGGCTGCAAGCAGGCGCAGGGGCTGGAAGTTCAATCCCTGAGCCTGCCATGCTGGCTTCGCCCCTGCCCCCAGGGGGTGCTGAGGCCATTGAGACTGTGGTGGCATGAGCCTATAATCCCAGCTCTTGGGAGGCTGTAAACAGGTGGTTCACTATGAGTCTGATCTAGTAGTGAGACCCTGAATACCCTGTAAACCCTTCTCTAAAATAAAAAAATAAAAAAAGAAAGAATACCTACTTGAAACCACAAATAGAAGAGTTTATATCTGAGCTCATGGGATAGGTCATAGGCAAAATGCAGGTATACAGAGGCAGGTGTGGTAGCACACACCTGTAATCCCAGAGCTGTGGGAAGCTGGGGCAGGGGGATTCTAAATTGAAGTGCAGCCTGGGAAATTTATCAACTTTCTGAGACCTTGTCTCAAAATAAAAAAAATAAGGACTGGGGATGTGGCTCAGTGCAAAAGCTCTAGGTTTGATCCCCTAGTACTGAAAAAAAAAATATAGTGCACTAAAAACAGTATACAAAATTACTGTGAGACAATGTGTACAAAGTACGTATGAAACTTAAATGAATTTATTTAGACTGTAGTCCTTGCCCCATGACATCACATTCCATCTATTGTATATGCCAGTATTTCAAAATTCTTTGGAAAAAAAAATCAAAACCCAAAGTACTTCTAGTCCCCAGCATTTTGAGTGAGAGAATCTCAGCTTGTATTGGATGTTCATGGCAGAGTGGAACAAGATGCACCCTCAGGCATCTGTAGCCTCCTTGCTCAGAAGCCACTCGGTCAGACATCAGTCCGATGCTAGCAGCCTCCACCCTGCCGGGCGTCTCCCTGTGTTCGAAGGCCCTGTCTTCACTGGCTCTGATTGGCACCATCTCATCCTTTAGGAGAGAACTTGTTTCCTACAGGAAATGCCTTCGCCTGACCCACCAGCAATCCCTGCCTCCCGGATGCATCTTAGGTTCCTGTTCTCAGTGCCCCAGGGTGCTGATCACGTTTCATGAGTCATCTGGATTGGGTGCCCATTTTCTATGGCTCTTTTGTTTCAAGTAGGTGCTTTAGACCACTGAGCCATCTCTCCAGCCCCGAAACAGCCTTTACATTCTTTTTTTATTTATTTATTTATTTTGGCGGAACCGGGGATTGAACTCAGATTCTTGCGTTTGCCAGTCAAGCGCTTATCCTACTGAGCCATCTCCCTGGCCCCCTCTTTTTGTGAAAGTGATTTCCTGCCACTGTACTAGCTCCTTAACAAGATATAGTTGGAAGAGCTGGCCAGATAGCTCAGTGTAGACTGTGTGTGGTGGCGTGTGCCTGTAATCCTAGCCTTTGGGAGGCTGAAAACAGGAGGATCACTATGAGTCCTATCTGTGTAGTGAGACCCTGTACTAAATACATTTTAAAAAATATTTTTAAAAAGATATAGTTGGAGAAAAGAGAAGCTACTCAGTCAGAAGATCTTGCCCAACATCAAGTGGGAAAATTCCTGAGGTGTTTGATGGAGAGGCGGGGCCTGTATAGAGACCTTTCAGAGCCAGATGTGGTGGTGCAAGCCTGTGATTCCAGCAGTCCTGGAGGCTGAGGCAGGAGGATGGCAATTTCAAGCTCAGGTTGGGCAATTTAGTGAGACTCTCTCTCTAAATAAACAAATAAATAGCTGGAGGTGTGGCTCAGGGGAAAGGCCCCACTTTTAATCTGCAGTACCTGGAAATCAAAAAGGACACTTGAAGCGCCAGTGTGAATGGTGTGTTTTAACTGCCTGAGCAGTTGAAGGCGGGCGTATGTGGGAGAGACTAGAATCACTTATTCTCGAGTGTCTGTATTGTGCTTTTACATAAAAACTTAAAACTTACGTGGCATAAAGTTAGCTGTCTCACAGCAGGCAGCGCAGTGGCACTTGGTGTTGTGCAACTTCCTCTTGCTGCCAGTTCCAGGGTGTTTCTTCACCCAAGAAGGAAACCGGCACCTCCCGAGCACTCACCGCCCCACCCCTGCCCGCTGCCCGCCTGCTTTCTGTCTTCTGCGGAGTTCTCTAGTTTGCTTGTTTCCCGAATCACATAGAAATCACAGGCTCCAGTGACTTGTGTCTGGCTTCTCACACTTAGCACAGTGCTCTCTGGGTGCTTTTTGGCCTCCCATTTCTTTTTTGATGGCCGAAGAGCAGCCTGTGCCTGTCACTTCTTGTTGACCACTTAGCAGCTGATGGCCACTTGGGTAGGTCCGAGCTAGCAGCTTCAGTGCTGCTCTCAATGTTCGTGGGTGTTTCTAATTTCAGTTCCATTCAGTATATACATGGGAGTGGAATTGCTGGGCTCTACGGTGATTTTGTGTTTAACTTTCTGACGTACTCAAGAAGGGTTTCTTTTATGCCAATTGACTTTTTTTTTTTTTTTTTTTTTGTATGTATTTAGTACAGAGTCTACAGGATCTCACTACGTAGATTGAACTCGTAGTGATCCTCCTGTTTTCAGCCTCCCAAGGCCTGGGGTTACAAGCTTGTGCAACCACGCTCAGTCTCAATTGCTGCTCCTCTCTAGGACAGGAGGGGGGCCCAAGCAGGCTGTTCTCCCGCCAATTGACTTTTAAGTCCCAGTCTTTTTTTTTTAATTGAATGATACTTGTTGATACATTATTTTATAAAAGACAAAGAGGCCCTGTCTGCTTTTGCCACTTAAAAAAATACAAAATATCCATGTTTAACATTACATTATTCCTTTTGTGAATCCTGCGTTCTTTTTGTGTTTCCATCTATTTCAGTTTAATGTGCAAAATGACATGTCAGCACCTGACTTTTTTTTTTTTTTTTTTTAATTTAAGCATCTGTGCCTATTTTCTTTCTGTCCTCCATTAACTGTATTCCTTTCTTCCTCTCTAGGAATCTTAATATGTTACATTTCCCTGCATAACTTATTTCCTCCCTGGCGACACATCATCTCTTTTCAGGTCCTTTTTCCTTCCTCTGTGCTGGTAATATAAGTTTTTGCATAAATTTTTTTCAAAAGCTTTCTTCTGCAGTTGTGGGTGGCTATACATTAATTTTCAATATTTTTTTTATAATGAAACGATGAAATTTAGTTATCACCAAAGACTGTGGTTGAAATTTCAGTTTAAGAAACTGAAGGGAGGTAGGAGTGTTATAATTGTCTATGTATAAGTATAAAAATGTTTCACAGAAAGTGTATGTGGAACTATAGAATTAAACTAGCTAGGAGGTATTCTGTCAATTGCCAATAAAACTTCTCAACCTTGGAATGTGCCTTTTAAAAAACCAGATTCATCCCCAAAGGCATAATCTGATTTTATTTTTAAACCTAAGTGTAATACTTTGAATGTTTACAATAATGAGAAAGTGGTAAAGATGTTAATTTGAATTTTATGACGGTCATTAGTAAATCTCATTAGCATAAAGCCTCTTCAAAAGGGACTGAAATAGTCAGTGTTTTCATCTTTATTCAGAGGAGAAGAAAGTAAGTGGCCAGTCTCACAAGGGCTGGCTTAGCCCCAGGCAGTGTTTTGTGGAGCCGCAGGGCTGGTGCTGCTGGTGGGCTCCAGCCCTAACCATGTGCAGTTTGCGAGAGGAATTTCTGAAGCACTCCGATTGTCCTCAAGGGGAGTATGTTACCCATTTAGTAATTGTGTTGAGTATTCTCATGGATATTTCTTTTAGACCTCCTAAATTTTAGTTTTATATTTCACTTTTTCAAAAATTAAAACTGTCATGTACATGTTAAAAAATTTAAACAAATGTAAAATGTCTTTTTTTTTTTTTTCTTTTGATTAGAAAATGGTTTGTCCAGGTACAGAGGTAGGTGCCTGTAATCCAGGCTGCTTGGGGGACTGAAGAAGGAGGATTTAAATTTCAAGGTTAGTCTGGACAACAGCAGAGCAGAGCCCAACTCAAGAAGAAAAAGGAAAGAAAATGGTCTAAAGTTACATCACCAGTTGGAACTTTTAAAAATCCTTTTGAAAACATCTTGGTTTATGTGGAGAGAAAATAGCTTAACATTGTATATGTTCTACAAGGAAGCCCGTGCAGGCATGGCATTTGTCTTACTATTTATCTGACCTTGACCTTCACTGATATAAAAGTGAATTGCATGATCAATAAAGGAAACTGCAGGGCTGGCCAAATAGCTTAGTGGGTTAAAGCACCTGCAAGCAGGTGCAGGGGTCAGGAGTTTGATCCCCGGGCCTGCTGTGCCAGCCCCAGCCCCAGCCCCACCCCTGGGATACACTGAGATAGCAATTAAGACTGGGTGTGGTGGCGCGTGCCTGTAATCCCAGCTCTTGGGAGGCTGTAAACAGGTGGATCACTACAAGTCTGATCTAGTAATGAGACCTTGAACTCCCTGTAGACCCTTCCCTAAAATACAAAAAAAATAAAAAATAAAGGAAACTCCTTTTCTCTTTTAGAATAACAAGAATCTTAATGGAGCTGGATGGACCAAATTGGCGGGAGAAATTGTCACCCATTCCTGTGGTGCCCACCTCACAGCCACTTCGAGCATGGTATCCTGAGCCACAGACCAACCCCAGCCAAGAAAGGGTCTCTAGCAGCCTCGCCTCAGCCAGCATCTCAGGTTTTCAGGGAGCTCGCACTCTCTCCTCCTGCAGGGTGTCTTGGTCCATGTATTTACTCCCACAGTAAAGCAGAAAGAGGGATCCTGAACTCTGGCATTGGAGTTTAAGGTCTTTTTTGTCTCTCTTCTTAACTCTGTGGCCTCAAGAAGTTGCTTCAAAGCTGGGCAGGGTGGTGGTACATGCCTGAAATCCCAGCACTCAAGAGGCTGAGGCAGGAGGATCATATCCAGTATTAAGGCCAGCCTGAACCACATAGTGAGAGGATGGATCCTCTTGCTGTCTCAGCAGGTGGTTCCCCTGAATAAAGGGAGGCATGCCTATACAATACTTGGTTCACATGTTGACTGTAAATAAATGTTAAGTTAGCAGTATTACTAAGAAGAAAAAGAATTAAGCGCTTGAGTAGACCATAGCCTTAAGAAATGCTGAAAGGGAAATATGAATGAACAGCAGGAAGTCTGGGGCATGAGGCAGATGACTGCTTCAGGCTTTGAGAGGTTAGTTTGACATTACTGAATAAATAATTGTTGAGGTGAACACTGAGGCTGTTTGTATCTGTGTTTCAAAGACCTAGTTGGCCATACCTACAGCTCAACACAAGGTCTAAAGGGGACATATTCTGTTGTCAAAGCACTATATGAGGCAGTGTATTGGGTTCCTGAAAATGCTTTGGGGTACTTCTGTCGTACTACCTACTTGGGAAGCTGAGGGAGGAGGACTGGAAGTTTAAGGTTAATCCAAGCAACTTAGTAGCAACCTGTCTGAAAAATAAAAAGGCCTGGAGATGTATCTCAGTGGTAGAGCACTTGCCTAGTGTATGCAGGGTCCTGGGTTCAATCCCCAGTACTGCCAAAAAATAAATAAATGAAAAAATGAAATCCTGTGGCTTTCGTGCTTTACATGAGCAGCCATATTTGAGACTACAGCGCGTGTTGTAGGGTCCCCTGTGTCCCGGAGTCCTTGGTTGGCCTGATTCTGTTCCTCTCTGAAGTAGTTCTGGCCTCTGTTTGTTTGTTTATTCTGGTTTCTGTTTAAATCTCCAGAATCCAAGGTATGTCAGTATGAATAACATGCTAGAATTATTTGCATTTTACTTTATAATTTGAAAATAATGATTTCATAATATATTTTTACTTTAGCCAGTTTGTCTTCTCAATCTGTTTGAAAGTTGTCCATTTAGACCAGCATGGTGTATGACCAAATTAGCTTATAGCTGTACTTAAAGATGTAGCGGTACTAACATGAGTATTTCCTCTCTTTCAAAAAATTTTGTTCCATAGATGAAGAAATATTTAAAGCCCTTAAGGAAGAAGGAAATCAATATGCAAAGGACAAAAACTATCAAGATGCTCTTAGTAAATACACTGAGTGCTTGAAGATTAACAGTAAGGAGTATGGCATCTATACAAATAGGCAAGTTCTTTGTAATGTTAGATATTTCTTTCTACTTTTTAAAGTACTAATTTTAAAGTAAGTTATTTCTTTAACTAATAAAATTGATAAAAGTTAATCATTTGCCCAGCTGTTTTGTCATGGTTGCAGCCATGTATGTGGCAAGCTGTCCCTAGTGAGTGCTTCTGACAGAGGTGGCCAGGGTACAAGTAGAGCCATGCGGTGTGGCAGGGCTGAGTCTAATGTCAGGTCCTGTGTGGGGGAGTAAGGCCCCTTTCTTCTGGAATGTTGAGTAAAGGGATCAGTATCTTCCATAGCATGTGGCAGGAGCAGGTGGATGGTTCTAGAACCCTGCTCAGGGGCCATCTTCCCCATATGTGGTCAGGATACCATGCTGCCTGGCCATTGTGTGCACCCCTGTCATCCTGGGGAGGCTGAAGCAGGAGGATTGCTGCATGTTTGAGGCCAGCCTGTGCTACATAATATGTTCAAGGCCAGCCTGATCTATATAGGAAAACCTGTCTCAAATTTTTTTTGTGTGTGTGTGTTTATGATTTTTTTTTAAGGCAGTAAGTAGAGTGTGGGATGACAGGAGGAATATATGAAAGTCTCTAGGGCCTGGGGAGATAGCTCAATAGAATAAGTGCTTGCCTGGCAAGCACAGGGTCCTGAGTTCAATCCCCGGTACCGAAAAAAAAAAAAGTCTCCAGGCATTTTCAAGCTATTTTCTAAATCCTTAACTTGGCTTTTCACTATGTTTTTGTACATTTTCATGTTTTCCTATGTTGGCAACTTGTTGCCCAAAACAGCCCTAAGCCGAACAGATGTTTACTGGCCTCTGCAGGATGGGCAGTGTTGGCCGCTTGTGTTCCTGACAGGACCCTTCCCCCATGGGTGCAGTGGCAGGGGCTCTTTCTTGTTTGTATTTCTATCCCCAGTGCTGTCACCTGATGTACTGCAAGCTAGTGACATAACAGGAGACAAATGTCAAGCTTCTGTTGAACAGCTGTGGTGTAGAGGCAGGCTTAGCCATTCTCTGGTTTTCACAAGCTGCCTAAATTTGCAGGTGTGCCGTCTTTACCTTTTCTAAGACTGTATTCCCTTGTGCTACACCAGAGCTCTGTGTTACTTGAAGCTGTGCCAGTTTGAAGAGGCCAAGCAGGACTGTGACCAGGCGCTTCAGCTGGATGGCGGGAACGTGAAAGCTCTCTACCGGCGAGCGCTGGCTCTCAAAGGGCTCCAGGTGAGTGCGCCTGTGTGTGGGTACTCTGAACACCTTACATGGTGTTCCTGAACTTAAATCTTGGGGTTATGGAATGGGATTAAGATTACGTGGGATATACTTTCAAATCTCAGACATTGCCACCAACATCTACCCAGTGACCCATCTTCCACTTGATGCTTTTCCCACCTGCCTCCCACCCCAGTCTTTGTGGGGGGACCCAGCTGGTGTTGCCAGTGGCTTTCAGTCATTTAGTAACAAACTCTTCCCTTAAAAGTGGACGTATCAAAAAAAAAAAAAAAAAAAGTGAACCTATCAGCTGGGGAGATAGGTCAGTGGTCTAAACGCCGGCCCTGAAACCTGGTGTGGTGGTGCATGCCTGTAATCCCAGTGCTGGGGAGGCCGAGACAGGAGGATCACTATGACTCTGATCTGCATAGTGAGACCCTGTATCAAAGATGGAGAGAAAGAAGTTGTTTTTTAAAGTGAAGCTATCATAACTAATTCCTTAGAACTAACTCCTGTCATAACTCCCTTTTTTTTTTTTTTTTTTTTTTTGAACTTTCTGCAAAGCTTTATTCCGGAGGGGCTCAGTCCTTGGCAGCTGCCTTCCTCATGGCGGCCAGCACATTGCTCAGCTCCTCACGCTTCCTCTTGGTGCGCATGTGCATCCCCGCCCTTTTCTTGATGAACTTGAGGGCGCGTTTGTCCTTGAAGACCTTGAGCGGCTCCATGGCGCGCTGCTGGTAGGGGGCGAAGCCGCACACCTTCCAGATCATGTCCTGCACGAACGTGGTGTGTTTGGTGAGGTGTCCGCGATGATGGCCTTGGTTTGCTCACTTTCTTAGTCACCTTGTGGCCTTTATTGAGGCCCATGGCCACGGGATAGCGGAGGGCCACGGCTGCTGTTCTTCAGTGGTTGCTGTGGCCAAAGTAGCATAACTCCTCAGAAAAACAGAATTATTACTATTTTTAAACTGGAAGGAATGTCAGAAACTATCCCCATTGTCAGGGGTGAAATGTGAGTCCTAGTCCAAGGTTCGTATAGTGACTAGGATTAAATCCCATATAATCTCACTCCCCTTCCATGACCTCAAAATTTAGGGTTAGGAAAACCATCTGAGGTTGGGAGGGAGCAGCCGTAGCATCGCAGGCCAAATGAGGCCATCTGAAGAGCTAATGGATTTGGATAAAGGATAGCTTTGCATGACTCACGAGTTTATATATAATATCTAAACTGTGGTATTGCCTACCTGTTTCTCTAAAGGTTAGAAGCTTTACTTAGTGAAGGACTGAAATTTTATACCTAAAATTAATTCTAGAAACTCTATTTTGATTCAGAAAGAGAAATCACAAATTTGAGTGATTCTGCCTTACCAGATTATGAGGCTGGTACCTTGTTTTTCAGTTTGACTTTAAATGGCTTATCTGTCCAGTACAGTTCGGTAGGTGCCAAGGGTGTTTCGTTTCAGGATCTTCAGAGGCCCCAGCAGCTTATGACAAGTATCAGAACCCACGCACACATCCCACTGTGCAGTGACAGAAAGGAGGAAAGTGGCACAGGGGCTGGGACTGCAGGCACCCCCTGCAGGTGGCTCCCAGCCAAACTTTCTGCTCCCTCAGATTTTTGATTTGTTTCTCGCCGGCTTCCGTAGTGTGTGTGCACGTGCAGTCCAGAGAACTATGTGCAGTGTTCTTCAGAGGTCTCTGCATATGCTGCTTTTATTTACAGCTTACCTGCCCTACTGAGTGCTGCAGAGGGTGGTGCCGTTAGTATAGAGATGAGGGAGACAGTGCTGTTCCTGCTGAAGGGAGCTGCTACAGGGAGAAAAATGCCAAAAAAATAAAACCTTGTGAAATAGTTACTACTTTTATAGAAGGAGCCCATCTGTGCATAGTAATTATTGTAGCCAACGAGTATAACATTGCTTTTAAAGGCCTGCTGAGGTCATTAGCGTCACTTAATGTCCTCTTTTCTGCCCAAGCCATGCTTTGTATATGCTCTGCTACTGCCCAAATTCCAGGGCTGCTTCCTCTCCTCCTCTTTGACAACTGCAGTCAAAGGTGCAGCCGCTCCCTTGCTGGCATCTCAAACCTTTGCTTTTAATTGCGTCATTCCCACTGACTCGCCTTTTTTCTTGTTTTCCCTGATAGGAGCAGCCTGTCCTTTGTGTCACAGTGTTCCCAGCTCTGTGCACAGGGACTGCTTGACCACTGAGGTGAAGGTGCCTCCCCTTGCCTAGGGCTGGCCCCACCCTTCCTGCTGCCTGGCTGCTCTGCTGAGCGCTAATCAAAGCGCATTTCCAATCACACCACTACTCTCCAGGCACTTTTCTGAGTGGGTGAAAATGACCCTGTCTAGTCCCACAGGTTGGACTTCATTTCCAAGGCTGTAGCTTACAGATCTTTATTTTCAGACCTCACCCTTGACCTCCATGCTGGCTTATCACCCCCTAACTGGAAAGCGCTGCTACGATAGTTCCAAGGCTTATTTCTCTATCATAGAGAGCCCTTCCAGTCCTTGTCATCACACAGCAAATTTATATTTGTAACCCCATGGAAAAGTTACTAGAGTCCGAGCGACCTAATTCCAATCTACCACTTCCAGTGCAACCCATGGCGAGAATGAAAACACTAGGCCATATTTGTAGTTATGGGGAGCCAACAGGTCCTGATTCCAGTTAAAATGATGGCTAACCAGAACAAAGGTCTTGACCCAGGGCCAGACCTGGGTGTTACCAGTTCATGAAGAAGGGATGGCTTGGGGATGGATGACTGTGAGAATGGCAGGAGGTAGGTGAGTGCTGTGAGCCGGGCTTACTAGGAGGCTGGAAATCACCTCTGCAGTACGCAGAGAAGGACCTGCAGAAAGAATAGTCTGCATACACAGTCCACATCGTACCTAATGTTTGGGGTGGGTGCTTCAGCTCTGATGCGTAATCTCTCCAGCCCCAGGAAGTCATAGCCCCCATCTTCAGGCTGCACAGCGTGGAGTATCGGCTCTGTATCCTGTCTCTTCCCAGTCTCACACAGGGCAGCCAAGGGGGTGGGGGAGGTGGCGGGCTAGGCGATGGGGCAGCCTGGTGGTGGTGGGGACACTTTCTGCTGTCTTCGCAGACCTCATCAGCACCTGGCTGGGCCAATTTGCATTGCTGAAAGCCGGTTGCACAGATCAGGAAAAGCCCCAGCCAGCTCTGTACACACCAGTACGTGGAAATAGGGTCAGGCTCAGCCAACATGGAGACGACTGCTCCTCCTTCAAGGATAGTCGCCCAGGTGGGCCTCCACAGCTGTGCCTCAGTTCCTTCATTTTAAAAATGAGAATATTGGAAGTGAATATTTCATAGGTTGTGAGAGTTAAGTAATACTTGTGAAATGCTTAGCACGCCCAGGGTTTGCTTCTGCAGCTTGCCTTCTTGCCTCACTCCCTTGCCCTTTGTGAAAGATTCCCTGCCTAGGACACTCAGGTGTCCCCTGAGCAATGTCAGTTGTTTTTCTTTATGGTAGGTTCCGGTTATGCTATTGTAACACAGAGGTCTGAGGAGATTTGTTAACAGTACACAATGTACTATTGTTTGTAAACAGTTTACCTTTTAAAAAAATAAATTAGAAGCTGCGCATAGTGGTGCATGTCTATGATCCTAGCATTTGGGAGGCTGAGGCAGGAGGATCACTGGGAGTTGGAGACCAGCCTGGACTACACATGAGTTCAAGTCCAGTTTAAACAAGATAGGGAGACTCTGTTTCAAAAACAAAAAAAAAATGAAACAGTGAAACCACCTCCTCTCCCCATGGGGCAGATTTAAAATTATCCCTGTAAACACATGGCTCTTGGTGTGGCATGTGACTGAGGCGGGGGCAGGGATGCGCCACTCCATCCAGTCTCTTAGGAATGTCACCTAACCAGTAGCTCAGCTTCTGTGTTCAGCCTCCAGTGCATCCTGTTACTGATGTGTCATCACTGCTTAAAGAGGTCACAGCTGGGCGTGGTGGCAAGGGCCAGAGAACTGTAAATTCAACCCAGTCTCCAAAGGGGTGGGGAGCCCAAAGTGGGGAATGACTCAGCATTTCTGGGGTTCAGGACTCTGTTCTGCCCCCCCCAATAAAACCAAGTTACATGATATTGTAGTTCTTTGCCTCCTCATAATTTAGAGTAACCAAAAAAAAAAAAGAAATGTATATATATATAGTTTGTAGTTGTGCAACGTGGCCCATCCCTGTAGGGTGGGCTGGTGGTGTCCTGTCTTTTCTGCCAGATCTGGGGGCCCTCTTAATACCTGGAGATTCTTTGTCTCCAACCTCTTTGGTGTGTTTTCTGATGCAGGGGACTATATTTTATTTATTTTTTATTTTTTTATTTTGGGTTTTTTTAATTTTTGTTTTCCAGTACAGAGGATTTTTTTCCATAATTTTATTGAGAAACAAATAACAATGAGACAGTTTCAATTCAAATTGGTAGGATAGTTCCAATAATTAACACATTGCATACTCTCTTCCTAGTGGTTATTTGCTGTACAAGATGCAGACATGATATCCTGTTTACAAACACTATTACAACAAATCCCTCTATTCATTAAGAAAATGTAACTATATATCTATCCTAACCATTTTGAATACAGATAGAAAATGGACATTCATCTGTATCCCCTTTTTTGTTTAGTTCTGTCATTTGAATATTATAGGTGTGTTAACTCAGCAAAATATTCTAAAAAAGTCCAGCAGTCTATAATACTATTAGGTCTTCCACTTCACTGGCAGTGTCAGAAATTGTTGACCTGAGCTCCCTACAGCTGAACATAACACCATGGCTTTACTTCTTATACTTCGCTTTTATACTCTTCTGCTGGTTGGGCAGGGGGCTTTGAAGGGCTACAGCAGCCTGCTGTGAACAGTAAAGCAATGCTGAAGGGTTTTGAGGCACCAGACTACTATAATAACGACAATTTGTGTGGCCCTGATGGGCATCCCATGCACACACCACCAGTGGCGCAAGCCTCCTGGCAGCGGGGCATGAATTACGGGCCCATCATAGATGCGGTAACTCATTCTCCGTATGCATCCATTCATTGTTTGGTACGGCCTCGTGAAAATTAGAATTGAGTATTTTTATTTTAAAAACAGAAAAACTGAAGCCCAGAAAAGTTCGGTAGGATCCTGTGTACTTTTCACTGTTAGCCGGGCACGAAGAGCCTGCTCAGGGTTTTAGTTATTCATGCAGCAGCAGAAGGCCACTGTGGGATAAGGGCAGGGACAATGGTGATGCAGAGGGGAACCTGAATTAGAATTCTAAGTCCGGGTTCTGCCTTCCTTCCTTTAGGCAGACGTTGGCCGTGTCATGGGCGTCATGGGTGTCTGCTGTCTGTGGTGCACTCACCCACGGGGCCCTGTGAGAGTGGTGCTAACCGGGGCGCCCTGCACACACCCCACTCAGGCTGATCGTGGGAGGTGCCACCTTGCGTGAAAATGATTTTCTCTGCCTTTTCAGAATTATCAGGAAAGCTTAGCTGACCTCAATAAAGTTCTCCTACTAAACCCAAATATTGCTGAGGCCAAGATGGAACTGGAAGAGGTGACCAGATTCCTGAAAGATAATACAGCACCATCCAATAAAGGAAAAGAAAGACGGAAAATTGAAATTCAAGAGGTATTTGTGTTTTATTATCTTTGAAAGGCCCCTTGGAAATCTTACGGGGATTTTAAGGCAATATTCCTGTGAATTCTGCAAAAAAATCTGTTTCTTATTTTTGTGATGACCATTGAGAAATTTAGCTAATTATAATGACAAACCTTGTCTTTTGCAGTGGGTACTTCTCAGCGTGGGCCTGCATTCGGTCCTGGGCTCAGTACCTACAGGACGACTATAATAACCATGATCTGTATAGCCCTGACAGGCGTTTGCATTACTTAAGTTCACCCTGTTTTGCCCACTCCGCCCGGCCTGCTGCAGTGTGTGGTGCTCTGGGACCCTTGCCCATCAAACTTCGCTGCAGGGTTGCACTGGAGAACCCTGACATGACTGTTTCATCCACAGCCCACGAGTTTTCAGACTGAATTTTCTTTTAGCACTGTGAACCCAGATCAGGTTCTCAGAGGATCTGGACCTCCCCAGGATCAAACCTGCTGCCTCTATTACTTTCCTACCACTGAGACACAACTCTAAGGAGAAAAGGTTTATTTTGGTTCACAGTTTGTAGAGGCTCAGTCCATATTCTGCTGGCTCTGAGGAAGGGTGGCATGGCAGGGAGCTTGGCAGAGAAGAGCTCATGGCATGGCATTCAGGGAGCAGAGAGATGGTGAAGGGAAGAGATAAACCCTCTGGGATATGCCCCCAGGAGCCCACCTCCTCTGGCCAGGGTTCACCTCCCATCATCACATTTGCTATAAACTCATCCAGGACCCAGTCTCCTCCAAAGCCCCAAGGGTGAGTGCACGACACTTTGGGGTACATCTAGACATAAACCATAACACCTGCCTTTGCGATTTTTCTAAAAGTTTATTTGGTACATAGGGTCTCACTGCGCAGCTTGGACTTGTAGTGATCCTGTTTTCAGCCTCCCCAATGCTGGGATTACAGGCATGCACCACCATGCCTGGACTGTTGCTGGCTCCCAGAAGAAGGGCTGGCAGAGCAGGCGGTACAGGGGATCAAACTCAGGTCCCTGTGCTTGCCTAAGCAGTGCCTTTATGATTTCTGATGGCCCAGATGTTTACCTTTACCATTAATGAACATCAGGCCATGGATTCCTAATCAGTCATGACTGTCATGCATATTATCCTGTTGATGGTCTTTTATTTTTACTAAGAGGCAATTATTAGGCAAAAGCTTTTTTACCTTTAATGAAGGAAGAAAAAGATGTTTTAAGAGAACTGAAAAAATAGAAGCTCACTTCTTTGTTAACCTGTAAGGAACAGTGAATGCTTACATCTAAAATGAAAGAGAAAGTTACCATAGGTCCTCCTTTATGAATTTTGTTTATGGAAAGTTGTAAAATAAAATTTTGCTAAATTTTCAATATAACATAGCATTGTAAAAACTTTACAGCAGAATACTTTCATGAACTGGATTCTTAAAACCTAAAGCTTTTCCTAAAGAAACTGTAGATTTTATAATTTGTTACAAATTAGATTTTTCACTTAGAACTTGATTAAAGTACAGTCAACTTGTTCTCAGTTCCCATTTTGACACACGTAACTTAAGATATTGTGGTGACTGTCGAGTGGTGTCACAGTATTGCACTTTCCCCTGTGAAGGTGAATGAAGGCAATGAAGAGGACAGGACAAAGAAAGAAAACCCAGAGGTGGCTTCCACAGCCCGCCTGGCTTCCGAGCAGAGGGGTGGGTGCACCGGGCCCCCAGAACGCTCTGAGCCTCTTCGTGTCTCCAAGCCCAGCAACGCCTACGAGTTTGGCCAGGTTATAAATGCTGTCAGTACCAGGAAAGATGAAGAAGCCTGCGCACACCTTTTAGCCATCACTGCACCAAAGGCCTTGCCAGTGCTGTTGAGTAACAAACTCGAAGGGGATATATTCCTTCTCCTAGTTCAGTCTCTGAAAAATCGTCTTCTTGCTAAAGATCCTGCCTTGGTATATCAGCATCTTTTGTATCTAAGCAAAGCAGATAGGTTTAAGGTAAGTGGCAAAGTATTTTATTGATACAGGTTTTCAGGGTCTCTAAAACTTTAAAAGTGTTATTTATGCCAATATAACTTTTTCTTCCTTTCAGATGATGTTGACACTCATTAGCAAGCGCCAAAAGGAGCAAATCGAACAGCTACTGGACGATCTTTCAGACACACCAAACAACCATTTTTCTTTAGCAGATGTACAAGCCCTGAAGAGACAGTATGAGCTGTAACTCAGTTACTGACGATCCTTCCATGCATGTCCACAGTCCAGCAGTGCTCATTAAATGGTACCATAATAGTCGCATGGATTAAACCGGGAGTACAGGAGCCCGCCCCTTGGCCTATCAGACATTCGACTTATTTTTATATATAAAACATGTATATTCTATAATCTGCTTTTTATTAGTTGTAAATATTTTCTTATATACCAGAACCATATCTTTATATTTCATAAGTATATTTGGGACATGTTAAAAATACATTTTAATTTATAGCACACATTTTCTTTGATAACTTGCCTGTTAAATATTTCACTTAAACAGCATTTGTTTTAGACTGTGGAGTCCTCTTAAGCTTTGATGGGAATAAATTTAAAATTTTCTTTTAAAACTGAAAGTCATTAAGTGACTATTATGTCACTTTATATCCAAAGTGTCCCATTATATAATTCTAGTAGAGTTTAATCAGTTAAAACATGATGCGACTCTGAAGTCTACTATAATCTGATTAAGTTTAGCACCACAAGAGGAACTTATTTTTTCTAATAATGGACAATTGCTTAATGATTAAGAATAAAAATTGCCAAAAGTTTCTATCACTTTTTATATTTTAAAAAATGACTTTCTTATATATTGCTTATATAAACAAGATAACCACTACATAAAAGCAACTAACCCTGCATTTGTCTGAATTGTCACCTTCATGTTTTTTTCCATTTAAATGTGCCCTCTGCCTTTGTTTTCTGCTTTCATGACTATATTTATTGCTTTACTATAAAAAGGGAAATGAACTTATATTGCAAACTGTTTTGTTAACTGGGTAGAAAAAAGGTTATTTCTTGCAATAAATCTTTAAGATCCTAAATCAGTGTACAGTCACTTATTCCTGTAGTCTGTGGCCAATTCCTGTAATGAAAGATTAGCATCACTTTGTTTTCTTAGTCATTATCTTTTTTTTTTT